GCATCCAGTTGAATAAATTGATAAAGAGGAAGGATATTGAGTAAAGCATCTTAGGCTGTAGAGGGAGTACTACGCATTGCTCCAGTTATGGAAATAGTAGCAAGCCTTTGTAGCTTGTTTAGTATGACTTGTGCCGTTTGTTGCTTAATTTTCGGCCACTATATAAGTGTGGCGTAGGTAATCCTGGGTTTAGCTATGGCCGAGTATATCCAGTGTATCATATTTGGCTTCAGACCCCATTTTTTTTTTCCAAACGTTCTTTTGCAGGTCCAAAAAGTCCAGCAGAGTTTACTATCTAAAGTTACTCCTAAAAACTTTACTTCTAAAGACAGTGACAGCTTTACGTCTCCTAGTTTAAGATCAGTGATAGAGGTTTGACGCCTATTAGTAAAAGGTACAATAGTTATTTTTGTAGGATTGACATTCAATCCCTCATCTTTGCACCACGATAGTGTGAATTTTAATGCTTTTTGCATTCTGTCGAAAACAATTTTATCGAATTTTCCACGGACTATAATGACAATGTCATCCGCAAACCCAATTATTTCGAATCCTTGATGCTTTAGTTTTAAAAGAAGGTCATCAACAACTAGATACCACAGAAGGGGGGAAAAACACCTCTTTGAAGACAGCCTTTTACAGCTGTTACTTTCACTACTGAATCTCCTAGATTAGTTGATATTTCTCTTTTGGATAGCATTTGTACAACCCAGTTGATAACGTTTTTATTAAAACCACGATTTCTCATGGCGCTTATCATCGGCGTGAAAGATGCATTATCAAATGCACCTTCAATATCAAGAAACGTTGCTAGTAGAATGTCCTTAGCTGCAAAGGATTTTTCTATTTTATTAATAAGAGTATGAAGAGCTGTTTTTGTTGACTTGCCTGACTGGTAAGCATATTGAGTCTTACATAATGGTTTATTAAGAAGTATTTTCAAGAATTTTTCCATTAATTTCAAAAATATTGACGACAAGCTTATTGGTCTAAATGATTTTGGTGAAGATTTAACTCTTGTGTTCACCTTTGCTATGAATACCACTCGAACTAGTCTCCATTTTTTTTTGGGATGTATCCCAATAAGAAACTAGACTTAAACAATTTAACTAAAACAGGAATTATTATAGATTTACAATTCTGCTGGAACAATTCCATCTGGGCCAAGGGATTTAAAAGAACTAAAAGAATCTATTCTAGAGTTTGTAAATATTCTAACGGAAAAGTTTTCAGCCTCTTCATTTGACATTTCTAGCCCACATAGAGAGACATTTGTTTCCGAAGATCTATCACGTTTACCACGGTCTGAAGATGTGGCATTTTGCATGCAATCATGATTTTGTAGTTGATCATCAGTAGGAAGGGACCCTGGAAAATGGGTTTGCATCATCAGTTACAGAGTTTCATTTGAGTTTTCAGTAAAAATATCCGTCAGTCTTTTTAAGAGTTCCAAGACCGTTAGAATGATCTTTCGAGAGAACTTTTTGAAGTCTTGCAGTTTCAGGAGTGTTTTCTATGTTTTCACACACATGTAAATATAAAATAATGTTCTGCTGAAAATAGCTGAAGCTGCCTTTGCGTGATGAAGGTTTTCTTGTATAAACTTTATGCTTGTTCCAGTCATTTTTGTGAGCTTGATATTTCTTGAAGGGCATATATAACTGCCTTTATTCTACACACTTCGAAAAAGACATGTAAATGTCAGTGCCCTGAGACCGACACATGCAAGCGGCCCTTTTGACATAAGAATCAATTCAATCAAACGCATTTTTCGTCAAGTTGCATATGTTTCAGTTTCAGAACACTTAATTTTACATGCCATGTTTGTTTACGTTCCATGATTTACGTCAAAGCTGAATTACGTCTCGTATATAAATAATAATTTCTAAGTGTGCAGTTTTGGTCGATGTCCAAGACAAGCATCTTTATTCAAGCTCGAATTTGATTAGAAGTATAAGGCGGGCAGCACAGAATTTCCAATATTCTAGATTCACTAGATTCACTGTTAGTGATGCCGCTAGCTTCTGTACCTCGTTGATTTGTTTCACGCATCTCAGCGTCCCCGGAAATTTCGTGAATTCTAGAACTTGTCCTTTTCGCCCTTTTCATTTTTGTCGCCAAGTTGTTCTGAATCCTCGTTAGTTCCTGATTTCCTGGAGGATTTTTTTCTTAGATAGGCAACTCCGAATATATAATCCAGAGTGAAATCGCATTTTTCTAAAGTCTCCATGGAAACAGCATCAACAGTCAAGACAAGTTCAACGTGATACTCTTTAACTATATATGTTTTAAGGATCTTCCAAGCGTTCCGGCCTAGGTATGTCTTTTTCTTAAATTGCAATGAAGCATGCTTCTTCCCATGGCTTTTACAAACGATCATCATATGCCCTGGTCTGAAAAAGAAATTACCAAACTTTGGTTTGGTTCTTTCCTTCCTTTGCTCTGCTAATTTTTCTTAAGGGTAGCAACTAATTGATGTGTTATCAGTTCTACATGACGATAACCATCCGGCAAGATTCCAATCCTGATAGAGTTTAATACCTCGCAATAAGATGCTTTTTTGGAGACATTAGTGGCCTGCTTAGGAGTAGACGATTGTCTAACATCTCCTCTTCTAGCTGTGTCCAGCCTTGACTGTACTGAGGACTTCACTTGAGATACATTTCCTCTTTCAGAATGGACAGCAACCCTTTTCGGTGGATTGGTTTCGCTCGAGTTAGATTCGCTCAGCTCCGCATTTCTATGACGCTTGTTCGGATCAGAATATGGTACTTTAAAAGGCTTCTCAGCCAGTGTGATCGAGTTACTCTAGATAGTATGCGGTCACTGACCCAAAATCGGGTTTTCATGAATAGCATTAAATTTTGAGGATGTTAGCACAATTTTAAATGCGATTTAATGGTGCACTCGACTAGACTAACAACCTACAATAAGTCACTTGAAAAAATATATTCCACAGCCGCAGACAGTAATGAGCAAAGGCGGGCGTACACTTTTTGCCTGCAGATTTGAAGACATACTTCAAATTTCCGCGTACATCGTACGGGTTAGGCAAAAGGTATGCGTTTGACTTTGTACTGTCGCATTAATGGCCCTTCGCTCATTTTCAACTTCTATTCAATTTCCATGCTGCCGTACTCTAACGGAACTATCTACCTACCCTCTTCTAAAGACCATTCTCTAGCTGATAAATTTTCACACTTAACGCTTCATGTTAGATAGCATTTACAACCAACTCCCAAAATATGTTATTGATTTACTTAAAGTAAAAAATCTAAACAAATGTTAAAACCCAAATATCTCAAAATATCAATGCCAGATTTATGAAATATTTTTTTCACAAAAAAAAAGAGTCTGAAGAGAAGTTGTAACAAAAAGATCAAAAATCTGACCAAAAGTTCTTGAAAAATTGGACAAGAAAATTTGGAAATATTCAGGATTCTTAATTCTTGTTTTAAATTTTATTTGAAATTACAAAAAAAAAAATGTTTTGAATGTCTATCCCAGAAAAATATTAATTTTTACTACAACTTTGTCATTAATTTGTAATACATAGGACTTCATTTCGAACAGAAATGCCGTTTTCGTGCTGCAATATTTTGAAAAATTTCGAAAGCGCCAATTTGAAAATTTTACAAGATTAAAAAGGCTGATTTTTAGCAAAAATGTTAATCATTGCCCATAGCAAACTATTAAAAGTGGTGGCCATCGGGTTCAGAAAAAGTGCCAAATACCCTACAATATGGGTATTTTCTGAACGGGAATGACCATATTGAAATCGAAGATGGCAGCTTCCGGTTTCATAAAGAGTGGCAAACACTCACAATATCGGTATTTTCGGAACGGTGTCGACGCGTGGATGCTGAAAATTGATATCCGACGACATTTCGGAATCCAGAAGGGTGGCGATCGGGTTCAGAAAGTGTCAAATATCCTACAATATGGATATTTTCGGTACGGTGACGACGTTTAGATGCCGAAAATCTATGCACGACGCCATTTTGAAGTTGATGGAACTTCGTAGACTTGAGAATGTTTTCAAAAAGTAAAGATATGGGAACTTTATAGATGTTCAAGAAACATTTTCCGCACCTCAGGATTTTTTACCTGCGCCACCTGTAGAGTACGGTGCTGCCAACCAGCATAACCGAGTTGTTGAAGATTTTTAGAAGAAAACACCAGCAAAATAACCAGTTTGTACTAAACGAAGTGACTCCAAATTTGTTTTAGTCAGAGGGTCAGAACTCACCATTGGTGGATACAACATTCAGGTTTTTAGACCAGTTTGGCAAGACACAATTTCGTTACGTTTTCAAGTTTTCTTTAACGTTTTCAGGTCGTTTGTATTATCAATTAACCTTAGTTTTTTTTATTGCCTTCGGCAGGTTCATTCCTGTAATTTAATTTCAGGACTAATGGCGTTCCAAAAGCCATTTTTCCTTATATCAAATACCCATGCAAGCTTACTAATTCCATTTCCGTTTCTTTCCAGGTATGTCCAATTCGCCGTCAATCATTTTTCTAAGGTAAATTTTAACTATCGTAAATCGCTAAGGTGATTTATTGAAAACCACCGACATTCTCTCTTGATTTGGGCTCGTCTAGGAAATCGATCGAATCGATCGAATTTTACGGCCACTTGAGTGCATTTAATAATAACCACACACCAGCTCCGGTAGTGAATCGCTTAAGATCGTTATTATATATTGGAATCGGATGCGAGCAAAGAACGCTATAGCCAACCATGCAGCACATTTATAGTAAGTTAATCAAGCTGTGCAACAAACAAAAAAACGAAACTCGTCACATTCTCGACCGCTTTTGATGGATTATGGTTATTGCCGGTGGTGCGAACAATGTGATCGAAAAACTGGTTCTTCAGTTGGCAACGAAGCGTAAGGTTGAAATGGAAAGGATTTCCCAGTCGCGATCTCACAAGGAAGTTCGTTCCACTCACGGGGAAATTAATAATGCATTGGTGTTTTGCTTCTGTTTGTACATTCTTTGTTTTGGTTTATATCATCTTTTACACGGAGAATAATTTACACACGTTATGTACAGGAAAGCATCAGGTAAAGTGGTGACAGTTGTTTTCGATTGACTTAGTGATGGTAGGCATAGGCTCCGAAGGCTGGCTGGTGGGCCACGACGGTCTTGGTCAGGGCTGGGGCAGCATAGATGGCTGGCTGAGCGATGTACTTGGTGACCGGGGCGGCGTAGGCAACCGGGGCGGCAGCGATGACCTTGGTGACTGGAGCAACAGTCTTGACGGCAAGTGGCTCACGGTGGACGACGGCGTTGAATCCATGAACGGGGTCGGCAGTGTATTCGACAGTGCGCTTGAAACCATCGGCATCAACAAGGGAGTAGGATCCCTGGACGACATCTCCTTGACGGGATTCCTGCTGGGACTTGTGGTCACCGGTCAGGCCATCGGAGACTCCGTAGCTGAAGGAGTACTGTGGGTTTGGGTCATACTCATCGGACACGATGGTCTTGTGCAGAACGGGAGCAGCTGGACCATGGGCATAGGCCAGAGGAGCCGAGTAGGCAACTGGAGCGATGACTCCGGCACTGGCAACGGCCACCAGGGCGCAGAACGTCAGGAACTAGAGGAAGAACACACAGAAAAACAAATTAATTCCCAAATCACACTTCACCATTCTAGAATCGGTTCCAGAATTGCTGATTTTCACACTCGAACGATCCTTCCTCACACACAGCAGAACACGCACCTTGAATGCCATTTTTGGTTGGTAAAAGGGGTAGTTGTTCACAACACTAGTCAATCGATTGAACTGTGTCCTAATCAAACGATTTCGGTCAATTTATACCGAGTGGATTGACGGTGGTCTGCGCCAAATTTTCGACGCCTCGCAAAGTTTTCCGGTTTAGTGCTGCTTCCCCGTCCCCTGTTTGTTCTTGAACCGCACGCGACGAAGTCAGCCGAGTTCAAATCCGTGTAAGGGCGTCAGCACCGGTGGCGGTAGCTTAGACGCAGCCTATCTCGACCGAAAGCTGTTAAAATCTTTAATTTTTTTTTGCTCGCCTTTTGTGACTGCTCACGGTGCCAGTTTTATATATTACAATAATCACTCACTTCATTCGGTGTTTTCGGGTGGCTGAAGAACGCGTGCATGGAGAAACTAGTCCAAGCCGTGCCGATCGCTTGATGCTCGAGTGAGTCTTTGGCGGGAAGCTGGAACGTCGTGCGAGCACCTATTTGGAGGAGATTGACACTGGTAGCTATTCATAGTAACACCGACAAGAAGCAGTCAGTTTTTGTGTGTTTTCAAACTCGGTAGTAGGTAGACAACAGGCAGGCAGCAGATCAGATGACCCGGCCTGACACTGATGGATTATGATGAAATAGACTGGCAATGCACTTGAGCAGCGAATGAGCGAGCGCGCGCGCGCGTGCTTCAGCCTACGATGGACCGTATCATGTTTTAGGGGGCTTGACTGACAAATTAGAATTGTGAATGAGATGTTTTGGGAGGGCGTTGTTTGGATGGTGTTATTCCCTTGTTTGCTTGCTTGCTTGCTTGCATTCTCAATCACTGTGTTTGTATGCTTCCGTGATGTTTGTTTTGATTCGATGAGCGTGTTTTTACGCGAGCTACTTGACGAAAATTTATGAAGTTGTAAATTCTTGATCATGTTAATGGCCAAGTATTCAGCTTGTGAAATTTTGATATACTTCTTCATGGCTGTTGCAAATTACTTCCAGACTATCTACCAATAAGTGGATGCCAAATTTGCAGATATGTCTGCATTTTGAAGACAGATGAAATTCTTTGACGACATTTTTTCCGGCAAAAATTTTGAAGCCATTTCATGATCTGTATAGATTTTGTAAGACATGTAAGTCATTCCAGCTCAAGTGGGTACAGAATTTAAAAAAAGTTGTGGTCGATGTCACCGATTTGAGCCAAACTTGGCCAAACCGCTTATTTTGGCATTCTGAACAAACACCTTTTTTGATTTTGCTTATAAGTGCCTAGATCCTTCAGGGCTACCACCCTAGATTTTCAATATTTTTACAAATTTCAACTTTCACAAGAGATTACTCCACAACCCAATAAGCTATTCGTGATCTTAGAACGTCAATTTGAAGGTTTTTTTAAAGCTTATTTGGTTGTGGAGTAATCTCTTCTGAAAGTTGAGTCTCTTTACAGAATTCTGTTGATAAAAAGTAGAAGGGTCTGTGCCTAGGGGCACGAACGGATGCTTGACGTAGGACACCACCAGTGCAAGTCGATGCCGACCGGATGACGGTTGCCTAGTCAAGCTTCCTATTGCGCAAAGCCTTTCTTCCGGTCGATGTGGGTGCTTTCATCGTCGTCTCAGTGATGCCACATATACAGATTTATCTGTAATGATACAGATTTTTCTCATCATTTTGATGCAGATATCTGTATGTACAGATTACAGATTTTTTTTAAATATACAGATTTTACAGATCTTTCAAATATTTGGAAAGTATGTTTGACTCTGGATTGTATTTATTAATATCCATAAATAATTTTTCTTCCTTTTGAGTAGGTACGAGCACCTAACCAAATACCATTTTTTCACTTTTTATTTTATTATATTCGATTATTTTGAATGGACTTCTGATGCTCAGATGTTCTGATTTCTGATTTCGGTAAACAAGCAATTTTACAACCCACAAGCTGATTGATTACAGTTTGTGAGTCGAACAGTCAATTGGATATTTTGACATTTGACTAGCGTAATATCAGAATATTCTATGCAAAATATCCTAAATATCCAAATTAAAGTTATGTGTTGTGACAAAATACAATAAAGCTGATAAAAAATATTTACACAATTGCAAATAGAGAAATACAGATGAAGCCATCCCAAAGTTTTTCACAAAAACATACTGATTACACTTAGGTATATCGGTTCGAGCAACAGCTAGTGAATTCAAAACCCGTTGAATCTCCATCCAAATGATTAGATAAAGTTGAAATTTGGTTTGATTAGAAAATTTGAGAAAATTTAACATCGAGAATATCCTTTTACAACTATTTCATAAAATTTCAATGCTTATTTTGCATTTTCTAAAATTGTAGAGTAAAAAAACACAAATGACCTGACAAATATTTTAGTAATCGCGGACATAAAATATTCAAATTTAACGAAAATCTGATTGTTTCAGGTTTGTCTCTCATTACTAAGACGTGATTTTTTTGTATTTTTAAGACTTTTAAAAAAGATACAAATCGCTCTAAGAAATCAAGATTCAGGATTTCGAGGTCTTTTGAATAGATTAATTCTTTAGATAGCAAACTTAAGTCATTATTCAAGATTATAAACTATGAACAAACTATTTCTGAACTTCAAATGAACTCAAAGTATATCTACGACGATCCGCAATAAGACCATACTGTAGAATAAATATATATTATTTTACAGATTGTTGTCAGCGAGAAACAGATTAAAAAGATTTATACGGTGAAAATACAGATTGAAATTGGAAATAATGTGGCAACACTGCGTCGTCTTCGTATTGGTGCGATGCGTGCTGTTTCACTCATACGTCGTGTCCGTCACTTATCCGTCCGTTGCTCGAAAGCAAATGACGAAGAAAACGATTTGGCAAGTGTTTTTATTATCGCTGCTTTTCTCCTCCCTTTCTTCCATTGGTGAAATGGTGAGCGATCAACCGAGCACTCATGCGCAATGTGTGGTTTGTTCGATTTGCGCTCTATCGTTGCGTCCGTGTTTGGAATTTTTCGTTACACGCCTGAATTTTTATTTTTTTTATGGACCCGCAGTATAGAAATTAAAGACGCAGTCCTACGTCAAAAAAAATGGTGGCAAATTAATGTAAATGAATGTACGAAATGAATGTAAACGATTTTCCATGCCTGGCAACAGTACACAACATACCAAATATGAGATAATTTTTCAAAAATACCTGAAAATCGATAACAAATCAAGATCCAAATGGCCGAATTTTTGCAAAAATGTAAATGATTGCCCATAACACACAATTATGCAAAGTTTTATGCAATTCGGATAAAGTTTCTGTTTGAGATCAAGAGAACATTGCACTCCAAACCTTGTGTTCTCAATCCCTACCCTGCCATCCATTTGTTACAATTTGTTACCCCTAACCTCGAGATAGCCGCGAGTAATCGGAGTAGTAAAAACGTTTGTTTTAGGTAATTTTGTTATCTAAACAATGAGTTTCGGCTCCGCAAAGCTACAGCAAATGAGCCTGGAAAAATAAACGCATTATTATGAAAAAATTAAATTTTAATTTTGATTAATGATATGAAAATCATTTTTTTATAATAATACTTGATAAACCTCGACGATCGGAATGAACACTGTAATTTCCTTCACCCTAAAAATTGCGAAAGTTTGCATTCTACTCCAACGGTTTCAGTGAGAATATCGTACCAATATAATTCAGAATGCAGAAAAATATTTGTTCAACCTGAAACCTTGGAAAATATCCAGAGGACTTTATTAAAATCAACGATCAGCTGGTGACCTTTCGAATAACGCCTGATCAATTTGTCGCCTTGAAAAGGTATCTGAGATACGACATTAGATTTTTCAAACAGTTGCAGATCTTCAGAATAATACTTGATCTACCTGAAATCTTGAAAAATATTTAAAGGACTTTAATTTTTTTTTTCCTCAATTTGCTTTCTGTCGATCTTGTTTTCCTTGCTGACCACCAATGCTACCGACGTCAGGGAGGCAGCTCCCACTCCTGGACCCTACATATCGACCCATCAACTCATGAACCGGGGACCAACGGCTTTACTTCCCTTCCGACGGAAGGCGTGAACAGAGATGTCATGTCTCAGAATATCCCGGTGGCGCCGACTGGGATTGAACCCAGGCCTGCTGGGGTGAGAGGTAATCACGCTTACCACTACACCACCGGTGCCGCGTAGAGGACTTTAATTTCTTTAAATTATGCGAAGATTCCTCTACTTTCACAAAGTTACTTGAACTTTAACTCAAACGAAGTTCTCTGAATCTCTTTAAATGGTTGTAGGAAAAACCATCGAATGACAAAAGGTCGAAAGGACAAAAGGTCTAAAAGACAAAAGGACGAAGGTACAGAAGTTGGAATGCACAAACAGTTCAATAGAAAAATGATGACAATGGGGGCCAAAGGTCGAATGGTTGAATGATCCAACGAGACACAAAACGGTCGAATGAAAAAAGTTCGAATGGGCAAAAGGTCGAATGGACGAAATGTCGAATGGACGAATGGTTGATTGGTCGAATTAAAAAAAAAAAGTTCTAAAGGACAAAAGGTCGAATAGACAAAAGTTCGATTGAACGAAAGGACCAACGGACAAAAAGGTCGAATGGATAAAAGGTCGACAAAAGTTCGAATGATCCTAAGAGGTACAAAACGGTCAAACCGACAAAAGTTAGAATAATTAGAAGGGATCATTAGGTCGAATGGACAAAAGGTCGAATAGACAAGAGGTCTAATGAACAAAGGGTCGAATGATCCAAACAGGGACAAAATGGTCGAAAGGCACGATTTTGATGATTTGTAATTTAATATTCAACGTAAGATTTAAGACTGGCACCTGTTGTCTCTCTTTGAATCATTCGGCGTTTTTTCCCCCATTCAACCGTTTGTCCCACTTCTCATCATTGAGTCTTTTGATTATTCAACCGTTTGTCACCCTTCTCATCATTCAACCTTTTGCCTCTCTTTGAATCATTCGAACTTTTGTCCATTCGAACTTTTGTACCTTATACCTTTTATTTTTTGACGTTGTTCCTGAACTTCTATGTAGTTTTGTGAAGTGCCCTTCGAAATTTTATGAGGCTCAAATTGAAAAACTAACAAGGTTGCTGAAGTTCTACGCAGTTCACTAAATTTTTATGAATTTCCTTAAATTTCTAAAAAAAAAAATCTGAAGTTCTACGAACTTTCTTGAAGATCTAAAACGTTCCCTCAACATTTTCGAAGCTCCTTGAAATTAAATGATGTTCCTTTACATTCTGTTTGGTATTTCATTCAGTTTTATAAATTAAAAAAAAAAATAATAAACGCAATCCCCCCTCTCGCTCCCCTTCCTCTCATCCAGGGATCAGATTCCAGGGATTTTCTGCGAGTAAAACACATTCTGTTGCGAGACAGCACTTTCATTTCCAAAGAGACGTGAAAGAGCATCTTAAATCGTGCAGCTCATTTTATTCTTTTTGTGTTGGAGAGCTGCCGCTCCAACGGTGATAAGTCTCTTCTCTCGCTCTCTCTCTTTTTTCTCCAAAAATGTGCTTTTTCTATAGCTGTAGCGCTGAATGATACACACTTAGATTATTTCACCGAAATCTGTGAAATTTTATCGAAATCTCAACAGCTGAACGTTCAGTAAGCAGTTCGGTGATTTTTAACAGATTTCCTGTAATTTTTCACCAAATATCTGTGAAAAATTACAGGAAATCTGTGAGAAATCACCGAACGTTCAGCTGTTAAGATTTTGGTAAATTTTCACAGGTTTCGGTAAAATAATCTAGGTGTGTAGAACACGTGTTTGCTTTTATGCGCCTTTTACATTAACATTCCAAACATGGACCCCGTAATCTCAGCGGCAGTAGTTCGATTCCAGTCTGGTCCGTTTTATTTTATAATTATTATATTTCATAAGGCAAATTAATGAAATTCATACCAACTTTTTCTGGCTAAAAAGCTAATGGCAATCTTATGAATATCGCTGTGTATCGTGGTGTATTAATCAACATTTATGGACCTAGGGTTCTTAATCAGTTAAAGTAAGTTTGGTTGCTTAAATTTACAAATTGGTTGGATCTAAAATATTATATTGGAAAAAAATGGTGCATTTTTTCAAAGAGAGTAACATTGCAAGTTTTATAGAGGTTTTAAAGCATTGTACAAGTCTAAATCATGGTCTACAGAACCCTAATAAAACTAAAATTGTTACAGTCTCTAATATTTATATATATATTTATATAACGATAAAATTAAATTATTCGAATAGGCCTCAATGCTACTTCGTTGTATGGCACCCGTTTCCGTTCTATGTGCTAAATACTATAAAAGCAAAACTTTTTGACTAATCTTTTCGCAAAAACTTCTTTGATCAAAAGATAAGTTACGATTGATAAATAGCCTAGCCTAGTTTAAAGATCGATAATTGAAAATTTAGTAGATTGTTTTGTATGCAACACAACAATGGATTAAGGATCGCTTCAATTTTATATCCCACACGGACCCAAAATAGCTTCTTTACAACAATTAAAAGAATTTTACACATCGAACTTATCAAAAAACTGCGTTAGGGAAAGCAGCAAATTTGATATTTTTCAATCATTCCTCTAAACCATGTCTCCTCCGAGTGAATAGAGCAACTCCCGTCATAACACTGTGCACTATTCGATTGTGTAATACGCAATTGTGCAGTCCAACTACCGTTCCGATTCAAATTTCGGACGATTCAAATTTCGGACACTTTCATTTTTAATTAAATATTACATCCAGTTAGAAACAAAGTAATAATGTTAGATGATCGTGGAGGGCACTAGTCAAAAAAATTTAAAATTTACAAGACATGTGGATCATATTCGACCGAGATAATCAACTTTTAAAAGTGTCCGAAATTCGAGTTTAAGTGTCCGAAATTTGAATCGGCACGGTACTTTCACTTAGGCATGAAATTTCTCTCTCCTTTGTCTCTTTCTCCTTCCAAATATAAGAAACGCGCTCCCGTATTTGAAAGTGGCACCAGTTTTTTAGCACCGCCCTGAATTTTTAGACCATCCCTGCATCTTATCCTTGGTCACAAATTTGAAAGGTGAAGACACGTGAAGACATTTCATCCATCTTGTTGAAGATTTTTTTACTAAATATACCTGGCATTATCCTTGGTTGAGTATTGCCATAGATCAGTACACGGTCCCTAACCTTATTTTTTGCTCACTATCATTTTGCTTCTGAGTAAAAAAGATGGCAACGAATGGGAGCCAAAGCAAATAACCCAAAACTGTCAAAATTTACGGGTGAGAGAATTGTGCGGCAAATCTTAGTGGATTTTTCTATAGTTGATAATAGAGAGCTTTACAAGAATGCATCTATCCTAAGAAAGACACAGCTCATTTGGATCTTTGTGCTTCAAAAAATAGCAATTTGAAAAATGGTAGCCAAATAAGAGTTGTTTATTAAAAGTACTCAAGCTTAAAATTGTGCCAAAAAACCTTGAATATTTGATCCACCAGTTAAAATTATAGCAATTTAAAGTTTTTTAGTTTGTCAAAAAAAAATAGAAAGTTGGGAGGAAATACTGTCTATATGTATAAGAATGAATTTCTGTCTGTCTGACTGACCCTTATAAACTTAGAAACTATTGAACCGATCGGCGTGAAAATTTGAAAGCAGGGGTTTTTTGGGACCGGAAAAGGTTCTTATTGGGGTTCAAGGCTCCCATACAAATGAAACAGAAAAATATAGCATGCTTTTTTGAATCGGCGCATAAACTCAAGCTTATATTGAATCCCGAGCAAGACCGGGCAGACTCAGCTAGTATAATATAAACATTAAGCTTTAGTGCGATAATTTATTAGCTAGAGAAAATTTTGAAGAGGATAAATTGATAGTTCCGCTAGAGTATGGCAGAGTGAAAGTTGAACAGAAGTTGGAATTGAGCGAAGGGCCATTAATGCGACAGTACTAATCATAACCCTAGCCCTACCTAGTTCATACATTAAGGTATTTCCTCAAATCCACAGGCAAAAGACGGCATTTGACTTGCTCATATACTGTCTGCGGCTGTGGAATAGTTCTAGCGACTGAGGAAATGCCTCAATTCCCCTAGTACATCATTGTATGAGCAGGGTAAAGGAGTTTGCGTTTGATTAGTACTGTCACATTAATGGCCCTTCACTCAATTTCATCTTCTGTTCAATTTTCACTATGCCATACTCTAGCGGAACTATCAATTTATGCTCTTCAGAATTTTCTCTAGCTAATAAATTACCGCTCTAAAGCTTTATGTTGATATTAATATAGTATTTCGTCCCAACTCTGAAAATCTTAACCTTCATTTATGAAGTAACAAAATCACTTTGAATTAAAAAAAAATAAATTCGTTGATTACTTCATTATATCCAGTACTATACGTTAAGGCGTTTTTGCGAGGTGGTGCCTAACTAAAGTAAGAATTGCTACTATTCCGTCAGTTCTCAACGGATTTTAATAAAACAACTTGCAATTGATTTATGCTACCAGGGTTGATGACGGCTTCGGCAATACTTTCTACTATTACATCCTGAATTCCAGTATTTTTGGATGCTTTTTCGTCTACTCAGAATTTAAATCATCATAGATTAGAACCAGTTTTCGGTTTATGACTTAATTGCAGTAGCAACAGATGGGACGGATTACATATATTGGATTTGTTTCTCAAAATGATTAAAGCCATTCATTTGCGTGAAAAAATAATTTTGTATTATTGTTTTCATTGCTCAGGTCGTAATAAATTAAGTAGCATAACAATCAGTCGATAACAGTTTCAGTCGTTCAATGGTGATACAGAGCTGGGGCAGCGTAGCTGGTGGCGTAGGCTGGCTGATGGGACACGATGGTCTTGGCGGCCAGAGGAGCCGAGTAGCTGGCATAGGCTGGCTGCGAGACGATGGTCTTGGTGGCCAATGGGGCGGCATAGGAGATGGTCTTGGCTACTGGGGCAGCATAGGTGGCATAGGCTGGCTGAGCAATAACGGCCTTGGTGGCAATTTGGCTAAGTGGTTCACGACGGACAGCAGCGTTGAATCCGTGGATCGGATCAGCAGTGTAGTCAACAGTGCGCTTGTAACCATCAGCATCAACTAGAGAGTAGGATCCCTGGACGACATCTCCGTTGCGGGACTCCTGCTGGGACTTCTGGTCACCGGTCAGGGCATCGGAGATTCCATAGCTGAAGGAGTACTGTGGGTTCGGGTCGTACTCATCGGCAACAACGGTCTTGGCCACTGGAGCGGCGTAAGCCAATTGAGCTGGGGCGGCATAGGAGATGGTCTTGGCCACTGGAGCGGCGTAGGACAGTGCTGGAGCGGCAGCGTAGGACAGAGCTGGGCCCGAGATGACTCCGGCACGGGCAACGGCCACCAGGGCGAGGAAGGCTACAAACTGTAAAGCAAATTTAAAGTTATAATCAACGCTAATCGAAAAATTCGGATCGATTTCCTCTACACACCTTGAATGCCATGACTGTAGGACAGAAGTAGGTGTTCACTAGAAAATGAAACTGAGCGAAGTGTATCCAAACGGAACCGAATCAAGCATTATATACCAACATACTTATCCTGGCTTCAACCGAATTTTTGATATCGCAATTCAATCCTCGAAAAAAAGAGGGGAGTCCGGTTGTTGTCTCACACTTCCATCCTTTTCGCCAACCCATGCACGGTATGGAATTAATTGACTGATAAAATTATTATATCGATATTCTTGACTTACATTCTGCGTATATTGCAGATCAAATCGAAATATTACATCATAAAAATTGGAGTTATTCTATGTGGTTCACTGACCACCACCATTATCGAATTGAACGGGTTCATTTTCAACGACGAGAGTTGTTTTTGCCTCAGCAAATTTTCGCACGTGCTTTCTGCACAAGAAGGATAAATGCGGAAAGCGAATGAATGAACTGCGAGAGGCGGAGTGGGAAGTTGGTCGTCGTCGTGGTCGTTGTCGTGGATTTAACGCCTTCGTTAGGACAAATTAAATCAGTATAAAACGAACAAATTGTTTTTGATTAGGCACAGTTCGATTAGTTCTATTGCTTAGATAGTACCAGCAGTATTCATTCCCAAAAAATGGCATTCAAGGTTTGTCTTGGTAACAGCGCCGATTTACACTTTTGTATGCTAATACAATATTTAAATTTTCAGTTTGTAGCCTTCCTCGCCCTGGTGGCCGTTGCCCGTGCCGGAGTCATCTCGAGCCCTCTGACGACCTACGCTGCTGCTCCAACTCTGTCCTATGCCAGTCCCATTGTCAAGACCGTCGTGGCCGATGAGTATGACCCGAACCCACAGTACTCCTTCAGCTATGGAGTTTCCGATGCTCTGACCGGTGACCAGAAGTCCCAGCAGGAGTCCCGCAACGGAGATGTCGTCCAGGGATCCTACTCGCTGGTTGATGCTGATGGTTACAAGCGTATTGTTGACTACACTGCTGATCCAATCCACGGATTCAACGCTGTTGTCCGTCGTGAGCCACTTGGCCAAATCGCTACCAAGGCCGTTATTGCCCAGCCAGCCTATGCCTCTTATGCTGCTCCAGTTACCAAGACCATCTCCTATGCTGCTCCAGTAGCTTATGCCACCCCATTGGCCACCAAGACCATTATCTCACAGCCAGCCTATGCCAGCTACTCGGCTCCTCTGGCCACCAAGACCATCTTGTCCCACCAGCAAGCCTACGCCGCTCCAGCTTATTACCATTAATTTAGTCTAAGCGTTCTTAATTTATTGTTGATAAAATGAGACCTGCCTAATTTATTGCAAATAGAATACTGAATAGATGGACAATCATCACCGAAACATAATTCTTTTATTTTTGAACTCTGATCGTCAATAGTTTTGGCTGCTGAACAACCGGATTCCTCATTGCCCGATCATGTTGGTGTAGGTCAGTAATCCATATTGATATTTATGAATTTTGGATCTACCTCTCTTTCACACTCCTAAAATTGTCACCAACTGCACATCGAGTAGCTCGTTTAAACCACAAAGAAAGGATACAAGAACACGGGAAATAAGAACAAAATCTCGTTCGATTGCATGAAACCCGTTGCATTCGAGGTCGTTGAAAATTGGTTCACCAAAATTAACTCGCGTATAAATTGCAGTCCGTTTTTCCGACTCTGCACAGTTCGATCAGTTTCATTGCTCAATAAACAATCACTCCCTGGTAAAAAATGGCCTTCAAGGTTTGTACTCGTCATCGGTTAAATTGGATGTTGTTAAATTAGTGCTAAAACTATTGAAATTTGTTTTGCAGTTTGTGACCTTCCTCGCCCTGGTGGCCGTCGCCCGTGCCGGAGTCATCTCGGGCCCAGCTCTGACCAGCTACGCCACCCCAGCTCATCTGGCCTACTCGGCTCCAATTGCCAAGACTGTCTCCTATGCTGCTCCAGCTCCTCTGGCCTACGCCGCTCCAGTCGCCAAGACTGTCGTTGCTGACGCATATGACCCACATCCAGAATACTCTTACAGCTACGGAATCTCTGATGCCCACACCGGAGATCAGAAGGAACAGCACGAATCCCGCAGCGGAGATGTCGTTCAGGGATTCTACTCTCTGGTCGATGCTGATGGTTTCAAGCGCACCGTTGACTACACCGCTGATCCAATCCACGGATTCAACGCCGTCGTCCGTCGTGAGCCACTTGCCGTCAAGGCCGTCGCTACCAAGGCCGTTATTGCTCAGCCAGCCTATACCAGCTATACCGCCCCAGTAGCCAAGACCATCTCCTATGCCGCCCCATTGGCCACCAAGACCATTGTCTCGCAACCAGCCTACGCCAGCTACTCGGCTCCTCTGGCCACCAAGACCATCGTGTCTCATCAGCCAGCCTATGCCACCAGCTACGCCGCCCAGCCCTGTATCATCATTAAGCGAACTGAAACTGTTATCGACTGTTTGTCGACTGTGCGTGTTTTGATTATGTGTTATGAATAAATGTAAACATAATTACAAATGAAATAGTTGTCTTTATTGATGTTTGATTGATTCGAGCGTTTTTCTCAAACAGAAATGAGGCGGTTGATATTCAATGGTTATACGTTGTGAAAAATGTTATTTCATGGTCAGTGGTCAGTTTTTACGGATTTATCCGTACATCTACACCATAAAATTCTACGGATTTTCAAGATTGCAATGTTTTTTTTTTAAATATGCCGGATTTTGAAAAAAATTACCCACCCCCCACTTATCATTTTTTAAAATAAAAACTTACCAAGGACTGCTTTTGAAAATAGTCATTAAATTTAGCAATAATTAACGCAGTGGAATCAGAATTACTTATCTACAAATCGTACTTCATGAAAAGTTTAGTCCCATACTTGTTTAATGTGTAATTGGGTTCTTTAATATTGAAAAACTTCTCGGTTTTTATACATCATCTGAAACAGCTTCATTTTCTGATCTCAGCGTTATTTTTTTTTTCGAACCTATAGACTTTCATCTCGATTTTCAAATCAATATTTAATGCACAGTATTAACAACAATCAATACTAAACTAACTATTTTAAATTCGCACACTACACACTCAGCTACGTTTGGCTTGTTCGGTAATTTTTGACCGAAAATAATCGGTAAACGAAAACTATACAGATTTTTCGGTAAATCATAAAAAAAATTACCAATATTCGGTAAAGTTTTACCGAAATAACGGTGGTCTGATTTTTTAAGTGACGAACTCTGTAAAAAAAATTACAGTACGAACTGTAAAATGAGATAATCGCCGAGTTCGGTAAAAAAATCACCGAACAAACCGTAAAACATAAATCAGATTACCGAACTTTCGGTTTGTACAAACTGTCAAACCGTGAAGAAACTGTATTTATAAGTGAACCGTGCTTTGAGGATAAACTAACTTAAAGTGCTGATGAATGGAACCAGGTACAGTATTATAAACAGAAGTATTATACAACAAACATTTAACAATTACTATTTTATAGACCGAAGAAATTTTTACCATCCAAAATACAATGTCACCCGTTCTATTTGTCAGAAGACCATTCTTGGAGGGCACAAACGATCGCCCCATATGCTGGGTATCTCCTGCTCGCTATTTTCATCCAGCCATTATCCGTTTTCAAATATTGCACCAAACCCCCCTGACAAAATTTTCTCAATAAAAACAATCAAATAACTATTATTGTTAAAAGATAATTCAATACAAATGAATCGAAAAAAGTAGTATAATTTAAAAAAAATATTTCGTTCTCGTTTTACGGAAGTTCGGTAATAGCTACCGAATTGTTCTGTAGAAAATCACCGAATTGTTCGGTCATTTTGACAAAATAATCCAAAAATCTGTTTACCGATCGTTCGGTAGTTATTTCGTTTACCGAACGGATTACCGAACGTTCAGCTGTTGAAAGTTCGGTAAAAATTACCGAATACGGTAATAATTTCTAAGTGTGTACTTGACTAGCCTATTGGTCCCAAGCAAATCGATTAACGTATCCCATTCTAGTCGAAATTCTAGTACTACACTATGTTTGTTTTGATTCGCTATGAAAGTTTGACAGATAAAATGAGGGGTTGGTGGATTTTCCTATGTTTCGAGGGGTGCATCGATTAGCTTGGCACCGAAGAGAGTACCTGAGCTGAGCCAAAAGGTTGAGCTCGTTTCTTCGGGACCTTCGAGGGGCGCTAACATCGTAATTTTTACTAATGTAATCGCACTTATTCAAAATAGTTTCAGTGTACCAAAATTTGTGAAATTTTTGAATTCGGTTCCATTTGACATGCAGATTACGAATATGCATTTACTTCAAAACCCTGAAAGCATCCAATTGACCAAATGGGCTACAAATGTGATATCACTCATATGCGTGTGTTAGTGAGATGATATTTTTTTTTTTGTTAGCTGTAAGAACTGTCATTTGAAAGTAAAAATAAACAACCAAACGAAATCAAACCCTACGCTTGCACGGTAAGAATCAAATACCCTTTTATGAATAAAAGTTTGTCCATTTTCAATGAAAGTGGCTGTACT